TAAAATTTAATTCATTTAAGAAAAATAAAAGTAAATGGAGGCGGTTGCATTGGCATGCCAGGAGAATGCAATGAAAAGAGAAAATTTGATGAGAAATTAAAGAAATGAGTAAAGGCATATTGAATAAAAGTTTTTCAATAGAAGGATATTTTATATGTAATTAGCTCATGTATCCTTAATTAAAATACAACAAAAAAAAAATAAAAGAATTTTTGAATATAGTTGAGTAAAGGATATTAACCAATATTATTATTGCAAAATATCCTTAAACTATCTATATGCATTAAAATAAAATTAAAATAAATAGCATAAGGATTAAGATATATTACACAGCGATATCAGCGATTATGGAAGACGGACATGTACGTTTTTCATTACTTAAATATATAAATCGAAAATCGATATTTTGTATATATGCATTAAATGAGGGAAAAAGGGGTAAAATGCTCTTTTAATTCATACTTCAAATTTTTACAATATTTTGTAAGCTTGCAGTATAAAAAATTACCAAAAATAAATGGAAAGAACAATGAAGTAACTGAAAATAATTGGAAAAGGAGTAGGGAAAAGCGATGAAAATTAATTTTCTTGTTATGTTTCAAGTAGTAATATAAGGGTATGTATTTGTTGATATAGTTGATGTGAGTATGACCTTAAGTCCAAATTATATTTTAAAGAAGCCTGTAAGTAAGAAATTGAAAAATATAGGAAATTGATATTATAATTAAAAAATATAAAATTACAATTAATGACAAGCTATTCATTGCCATATTAAAATTAATTCACAGCAGGATAATGAAATATTATGAACAGAATATTATAAATGTCCTTGAATACTCTTTTAAATTTTCTTATTATTAAAAATGGCTGTGAAAGGCAAAACAAAAATTCATAAATAAAAATTAATACATAATGTAGGATAAGGTTTCTTGAATAGAAAAATTTTACGTAAGAATTTATTGTTTAATTACAAAAATTTTTGTAGAGATGAGATCAGCTTTATGTTTCTTATAATTTACTACCTTCTTTTAAATAGAATTATGAAAACTAATATAAATTCAAGTATAGGTACGTGGATATTGAATCTAAATTATAAATATTCTGCCTTAGTGTCGATAAATGTGAAGTTAGCAAATTGACTGCATTAAATTTGTTTACGTTCGTCTCATGGTTAAAGCACCAAATTAGTTTAACTTGGTTTCTTTACAGCTTTCCCTTGTGGATTCTTGTACAACTTGGTTTTTGCGCATTTTATTTTTATTTATTTTCCTTATCTTAAAAAAAAATACATATTTAATATCTTAAATTTTTCTTATATTTATTAAATGAGAAAGAAGAGGCAAAAATTTTCATTTTTAATCATTCCATTTTTAAAAATAAATTGCTTAATTTTTTGCTCTCTCGCTCTCATATTAAATTTTGTATAACAATAATTTTTTGAATTTTTTATTTGTACTTATTTTGATTTTATTTTTTTTTTTTTATTTATTATATTTATTTATAATATTATGTAAGCAAGAATTCAGTTCATTGAAATTAAAATATAAATTTTTTTTTTGTTTTATTATATTATTGAAATGTCTTTGAATATGAAGAGTTGAAGACTTCTTCGTGCAGTCTGGTGATAAAATGTAAAAAAATTTTGGAAAATAAAATTAATGTCATTAAAATTAATCTTATTATTCTCTTAAATTATACACCATGTTGAATTTTTCACAATTTTAGCCAAATAAAATGTCGATTAAAGATTAAAATAGGAAAGGAAATTTCATTTAATACTTTAAATAGAGAAAGACCCCATATAAAAGGAATAGGTCGAAAATACGAAGTAAAGTTGAGTTTATGTTTTCAATCTGCAATCTGCAAAAATAAATATGATGTGTTCAGATAAATTCAACCATTGTATACCGCAATTACAATAAACAATGTAATGTGATATTTAAACTTTCAATACTTATATTTTCTTTTTCTCATTTTTAGATCAGAGTAAAATAAATCAGAACGGAGTAAAAATTCTGTTTGCAGAGAATTCTATCAAACTTACGCAAAGCTGCAAATTTGAACTTTATGCATATAAACACAAAAGCAAATACTGTTTGCATTTGCAGATCTAATTTTCAACCTTTCTTTTTTCAATTTCCGAAATTTTCAAAATGATTCGAGAAGTGATTCAAAGTGATTGTCCTGTCGTTCACACGTGTTTTCTGACAGTATAGAAAATTATTTTATTTTACTTTATTATTCAAGCTCTAAGTAATTTCAATTTTATTTTTACAACTTGCTGCATGCTATAGAATGTAATAATTACTGCCGTGAAATATAGAAATTGCACTATACAATATATTTCATACATAGATTACATATGTAGCCAGTGTAGTCATTCAAACCGATTTACAATTTTCTTTTCAATTTTCTATATGGTTTGTATAATTTTATTATTCTTTTGATTAGTAAAACAAAACGGGAAAAAAATAAATAAATTTCTATGCATTTGAATTAAAAAAAATAATAATAAAAATGAATGAAATTGCAATAATAAGTTCCATCATGTTTTTATCGTTTTCATTATCTACACTTATTTGATATTTGAAATTCTTTTATTCATTTATTTATTTATTTTTTATTATTATTATTGCATACTATTTTACTACTACGACTACTAGTTTTTGTCTATAAATTCACCACCTTCTCAATTTCTCTCACAACAGTCAACATAAGCGTACAAAATAAGAAACCACAATTTTACTTTCATGTTTTTTTATAGTAAACAATATTTGTAGTGTAGTAGACAAAAACACAAACTATCACCATTTACCACTACAATATATATACTTTCACAATAATCATCATCATTGCCATCATCGTCGTCGTCGTCATAGTCATTGCCGTGTCATCATTACAATTGCTTTACTATTATATTGCTATCACTATTATCAATGTTATTATTATTATCATCAGGGAACAATGTGAATAAAGCACGATCTTTGTCATGTCTTTGCATAATTTATGATAAAAATTAGGAAAGAAAATGCAAAATAAAAATTTTTTTTTTCTTTTTTGTTTTTGTCAATGAAAATTATTCTTGTATGGATGACAGAACACCACAGGCAAAAATAAAATAAAGGTATTTAGAAGAAAGAAAATTTAACATTTATGAAAAAAAAAAAAAAAAAATATTTTCATATTTTCTACGGGGTGTGTGTTTTAAATGCAAGTTTTTGTATGTGTGTGTGTGCTAACAAGTTTCACTATCATATAATCAATTATATGGGAACGTCTAAAAATAAACCCTAACTATCTATTCCAAAAAAAAATTTTTTATATATAAGGGGGAAAATTTTATAATAAATTCCTGCAGTTTTCTTAAAAAAAATATTTTTTTTGATAAAAAATAAAGTTTTTATGAAATTTCTCAAAAAAAAAAAAAAAAAAAATATGCTTAAGAATTTTATAAATTTCAAAAAATTTCATAAAAGAGAAGATAATCCATAATTAATTATTTTTATGAAAATTTTAACAAATTTGTTTTTTTTTTTTTATTAATGATGATATTTGTTGCATATAAGCTTGCAGTAATGACGAAATGTAATAAAATATACTTAATCTAAAGCTCAAATAAAAAAATATTGGAATTTTAACACAATCATGTTATACATTAAAGGTGCTCGAGTTTAGAAAGTACCAAGTATTTTATAGCGTAAAAGTAGAAAAATTCCTTTGCTAATTGAGTATTTTCTATAACTTTCCATTTAATTCCACCCTTCATGAAACCTACGGAACAATGAGTCTTCTTTCTTGACTTCCCTACTTCTCAGTCTTGGACTTAGATCCGCGAATCATTAATTCGGAAAGTGTGTTCGGGCCATTAACTCCAGTATCTGTTTTTCATTTTTAGTAATAGACTCAACGGGCCGCTCATCGTGTTGTAAGTGAAGTCTGCTAAAAAATTCTTCCCAACACACCTCACAAGTTTTCTTTGCTTTCTTTATCTCTTTATCATAAGTCGTGAGTGAGTTTCTATGCTGGTCCTATAAATTTGCGTTGCTCAGCCACTTTTTGACAAGACAACTGTTATGACTGTCCTCAGTAATAGCCGTTCTCATGCTCTTGCATGACATCTCTTGATAAATCTCTTCCGTTAATACTCTCTGCGAAAAATCTCATTATATATAAAATATTAATATCACGACGTTAAATTTAATCGGCCTGTGATCAAGCGTAGATCTCTCTTATTGTGTTCACAAACCATGACCTATTGCCTCCATTTATAATTATTAGTGTGGCTAGTATATATAGATTCAAGTAAGCAGTCATTTCTTTTATATATATCGGGGTTGCTCTAGACAGTGTATTGGCATCACTTCTGTTATTACTTTATTATTTTAAATGAAATTCTCAAGATCCTTCGATTGTTCGGGTGACCGGTGACTGTCTTTTAAAATATAGGATCAGCATACAATAAGCTCTGTCTAATAATCCTCACTAATACAGCCAACTGATGCTTGAACCAAAAGTCTGGAATTAAAAAAATATTTTAGCCTTTCTTGTTGATTTTGTCAGTTCGGCCAAACCTGCAGTAACGCCATAATGGCCATCACCCTAAAATGACTTCCTTCATTTGACCCTTGCAGTTATTCTAGAGAAGGAGTGGAAAATCGGAGATCAGTTTTCTTTAGGTCTTCAAAATTGGAATAGTCTACGTAGAAATTGATGAAGCACGCGAGTTCTTTTCTTTGTTCGTCTTCAGTACCATCCAGAAACTTTCCTTGGGACTGGGCTTTAGCTGTAAATAATTTCAAATAAATAAACTTGTATGCGGTTTCTGTACAATCATTTCGAAAATATATTTACTTTTGTCGGTCATACCCTTTTTATAAATTTTTATTATTTTAAAAGAAATAAATAACATAAGATTTATTTATTTAAAACAATACAAATTTTCCGCATTTTTGATCCTTTTTCATTAATTTTTTTTTTGTTTTCCATATATTTACAGGCAAAACGTATACAAAGCAATGAATTAGCTGCTATTAAAGTAATAAAATTAGAACCAGGTGATGATATACAAATTATACAACAGGAAATAATAATGATGAGAGATTGTCGTCATCCAAATATAATAGCATATTATGGTTCATATTTAAGACGTGATAAATTATGGATATGTATGGAATATTGTGGTGGCGGAAGTTTACAAGATATATATCAAGTAACTGGTCCATTAACTGAACAACAAATAGCATATATGTGTAGAGAAACATTAAAAGGATTAGAGTACCTGCATTCAATGGGTAAAATGCATCGTGATATTAAAGGAGCAAATATATTATTAACAGAAAATGGTGATGTTAAATTAGCTGATTTTGGTGTATCAGCACAAATAACAGCAACAATAAATAAAAGAAAAAGTTTTATAGGTAAGTAGAAATAAAAATTATTTAAAATTTTAGAAAAATTTTATTATTTAAATTTAAAATTTAAAAATTCTTGTTAAATCTTGCTTTACGTAATTTTGCCCGGGAATGTGGCAAATACCATACGAACGCTTATTTCCCGGAACCTGAGGTTCTTGTTTTCTAATTTTACAAATGAAGCAAAGATAATAAACCAACTAAATACAGTGGAATTCACTTATAACAACGTCGCTTACAACGACGAACCTAATAAAACGACCAAACTTCCAACATTTGGTTGGCCCACATACATTTTCTTAGAAAAAAAAATCTGATATAACGACACGTCTATAGCGACCGTATTGGATATTACAACTCGTTTTTTTTTTTGAGTTTTATGATTTTTAAATCGGACATAACAATGAAAAAAATAAAAAAAAAACACAAAAGCACAAAAAATAAAAAAAACATACAAAACCAAAAAAAATACATTTATGCACAATTTTTCGTTTGTTTTGCGTATTTTGCTTTAATTGTCAGTTAAAGCGACAAAACAATGCTGCAAAAATTAGCAAGCAATGTAATGTACATTATGTAGTTATAGTTTTGCACATAAATTTTTTTGTTAGCTATGGGCGCTGTCTACACGTTCAGTGTATCAGTCACTTTTAACTGAAGCTCTATGTATTTGTTGTTGTTTGAAAAGAATGAGAAAAAGTTGAAATGTTTTTAATTTTTCATCAGTTTTTCAGTAATTTTAATCTCAATTGTTCCAAGTTTCATATCAAATTTGCAAACACTTAATTCACGCTCATATATAAATTTCTTCATTCAAAACTGAACGTGTAGACACTTACATTTTTCACCACAGTTTTAAATGACTAACTCACTGAACGTGTAAACAGAGCCAGAAAAAAATTAATAAATAAATACAACCAATGAACATTTGGAATATACGTATATCGTCACTTTTGATTTTTATTAGCTTGGATTATTTTTTTTTGTTGTATTGGTTATACCGACTACCGGTCGGTCCCTTGGGCATCGTTATAAGCGAGATAAACTATAATTCAATTCGGAACACAGTGGAGTGTTAAAACTAATAATTTATAGTTAAGTCTACTATAGGTTCATTCTAATGAACCATGGTGCGTTTATGTCTTAACGAACACCTACCAACTAAAACTATTCCTCAAAAGCTACTCTTTCATAAATTTTACTGTATTTTTGAGAACCGGTAGGGTTTATTAGTCAGTAACAATGCTAATTTCATCATAAATATTTAATAAAACTATTTGAAATGTTTATGACAATTTACATAAAATATTATCGTATTTGACTTCATATACATATTTATGACTATTTTAGAAATTTAATAATAGAATAGAATAAAGAACTAAAAATTTTTATTATCAATAATCTCTAAATTATAACTAAGATTAGAGGAAATTCTATTTTGTTTTTAATATTTTTAATATTTTTTTTTTGTTTGAATCGACAAAAATATAATATTATGGTTTTTATGATATCCTCTTTAACCGAAATAATAATAAAAAAAAAAAAATCCAAAAATTAATAACCTTGACTTCATTATAACTTATTATGTATTTCCTTAATCCACCCGCCTCCCTTACGCCCACCCTTATCTTTCATCTTTCATTTATTGTTTTCATTAATTTTCTTCAAAAAATTATTTTCTTTTTTTTTTTTGGATTCTTTTGATTGAAAGTTTATATTATGTTTTATACTTATTTCCCCCATTTTGTATAACAAAACAATACATATATGCATATTATGAAAGGAATTTAGGTTTGTCGTTTACAATATTATGTAACACGCGATTTTAAGAGCCTACGTACATATGTACAGAGATGGATTGAGAATAACACGTGGTATTCCAAACTATTGTGATGTCAAAAATAATAAGAATATGAACATGCAATTTATTTAAATAAAATTTATTTACCCTATTCCTTACCCATGTCGATTTTCTCTTTTCCAATATTCATTTTCAAGAAATCAAGGAAAAAGGGACTTGGACCCTGCAGAATCGATTTTGAAAAAAAGAATCGAACAAAATATTTAGATTCCCAAGGCTTTTCCAAAAAATATTGTGTTTTAAGATAATTGGTTAATTTTTTTTAAAGATGTTATCAGAACTTTTTATGGAAGATAATCATTCGAGTTGGTCTTTCTTACTGATTTGAAATACGCATCCGTGTTAAGCAAAAGCAAGTATCTGTACTGTGCTGTAAATTTTTAAGCATTTTTTTTTGCTGAGGTTTTATCAATAGGCGAATAGATGGAAGCACATAGTCAAATCAACTTAAAATTTGAATTTGAGTACGACTGTTTTCTTCTCCCCATATGAAAAACATATGCTTCTTTGTTTTCATAAACACCCTCAGCCATTTTGAAAACCTGTCAAGATCCACGAACAAACCTCTACTATACTCAATTTTTTTTTGTTCAATTCAATACCAATTAATCATCATGAGCAATTATACCAATTTTTCTGCGATCCACCCTATAAGTATATAAACTACATTATGTAAAGAAAATTTATTCTAAAAATTCTATTTTGATTTTGTCTATATATTCTTGTTATAATGAAAATAAATTAGTGTGCTGAGTAGGTAGTTAATGAGCTTGGAAGCGGAACCGATCAATATTTATTTTATTATGACTGTGAATATTTGCTTTATTCAACTTAATATAAGTTTATTCAATAATAGCAGATTTTGGAGAGAGAGGGAGAGAAAGAAAGAGAAGAATTTAAAGAAAAAAATGACAAATAACCCAACTGAAAAATTTTCATACATAATCAATTTATATTATGATTGAGCATATCTATAGGCGTTTTAACTATACAATGCTGTATATACCATTATCTATATATGAATTTATGGTTTAGCGCGTTATTTATTAATAAAGTTTCCAATATATTGTTTCATTTTTCATTTAATAACGGTGTCATATAGTAATAATGCTCGTTTTGGTTTTGTTTTTGTTCTTCTCTGTCACATTTTTTGTTCATCCTCTTTCTTTATCCTTTAGAATTACTTGTATTGTACTTATGTTTTCTTTTTACTCTAATCAATTCATTCTTATATAGCTTCACTGTACAGACGGAGCATATATACAATTTAAAAATTCTAGATAAACTTGCTTATATTTTAGACATTTTCTTTTTTTTTTTTGTGTTTGAAGAACTTTTAATGATTTTTCAACTTATCTTTTACGCTATATGTACTAATATCGAATATTTTCTATTCATGCTTGCTATTCAATATATATTATTTTAGGAACAAGATATTTTAAAAGTGGGACAATAATGGTATTTTAATTATATGGTATTCAATATTGTAGAGTTGTTGTAGAAATTTTGAGTATCAGTTATTTTATATTTGCTATATAAAATTGGTATTATATAAAGAGCTGAAAAAATAGTGCTACTGATTAAATTTTTTGTAGAGAAAAGCAAAAAAACGCCGAATATATCCGAATATCTGGTGCACCCAAAATAGTTACACAAATTGAATTGCATGATTAATAAAATTTCAATGAGGAACAAGCCACGATTCACAAGAACTCATTACCTCATTTATTTCTATTTCTTTTAGATTTCTCTCTGCGCTCTCTTTATTCTCAGCCCCAGAAAATATTACAGTGCCATCTACTGTCACATAGAATTACCGCCTAAGATTTTAAATTTCAATTCTCATTTATGAATATAACTAATGAATACGATCTAACTTTCAGAATATTCGATATCTCTATATATACACTAAAAAGTTTTAATATTGACAAGAGAGAGTTGAATTGAAAGCAGCACGTAGAAATAATAAGAATGGGGAAAATAAATGAAGGAATCAAATATGAGAATAAATAAAAATAAAAATCAAAATTCATGTCAATAACCCAAAAGTTAATGAGTCGTCCTTTTCAATATTAAGTAAAGTATTATTTGTATATCCAAGTACATATATGTATAACAGTTTGTTAAAATATATTAAGTATAAAGGATTCTTAGGATTGTTATAATGCTTATATGCATGTAGTACGTGTACATATGTGAAATGTAATATTCTTTAGGATTTGCTATTATTATTTATTTAATGGCGGAAGCAGAGAATATACACATGGGTTTATTTTTTTTAATATTGTTTTTTCTGTTGTTTTCTTTCTTGTTCTTCTCTCTTGCTGTCTATTATTATATTAGAGTTCTATTCTTCTCTAATCTTGTACTCTTTAAAAAAAATTGTTTATTTTTTTTTATGTATTTAAAATAAAGGAAGAGAAAAAAAAAGCTAAAACCATCCAATCGATTTTTTTTCTCTTTCGGAACTGTTCAATAAAAAATAAAAATGAAACTGAGAATAAGGTTTTATTTTTCGTTGATTTTATCCGATATTTTTTTTTATGAGATTCATTAACGTTTATATATCGTGTACTGATTGATATGTTGGCAAGCTTTAAATTTTTTGGTGCGTAAGCATAATATCAATGAAGTTTTAATAGAGAACCTCACATGTGGTATTTGCCCGCTTCACATCTAGTAGGTTCTTGTATATATACTTCACCATAATAATATCTAGCAGTCAGTCCAAGTTTGCATATTTTGTATATCTATCCAAAAAAAGACAAACAGTGGTCTCTCTTCTACTGAAACGATCATCAACGAGTAATAAATATTGGCTGTTTTATTTTCCAGAGCTCTACACCCTGTGTATAACCCTTTCAGACGAGCTCTGATGTACTATCTTAAGGTATTACAAAAAGGCTAATTTCTCAGAAATTTTCTCTTCATGCCTCTTTATTTTCATAAACACCTCATCCGTGACATAGGACAATCTATAACTCTTTCCGAAATGCTAAATATGCTAGCATTTCTAGTTGTCCCAAAACAAACGGGTGTTTTTGATATTCGAGAAGATATTGATAGAGAATATTTTTAAAACTATTTATGACAATACTTTTATAAATTTTGTGGGTATAAGCTGGCGAAGATTCTACAACTATTT